CGCAGTGGCACGCTTCACGACAATAGCGTTAAGCTGAAGAAACGGAGCCTGGAAGCAAGGGGCTCTCACTTACTTCGCCTCCCAATTCAGAAATTATTGAGTTGTCGATCACCTCCTTCCTCAACGATTCATGTAAGCAGTAGGTGATCACTACGAGTCGATATAATACACAAGTTCAGAATGATGCACGACTGGACACTATATTCGGCGAGCACACGATCGCACAACACAAAGAAAAAAAGTGAGTGCACTGTGCGTTTCGTGGCCACGTACGCGCACACCTACCAGCGCACATTTCATGAGCAGCAAACACAAAGCAAAATACTCAATGCAGCACGGTATCTTGGGCCACTATCGCAATTGCTTCGTGTGGAGCGCAACGTCCGGCTTGAAGGCGGCTACTAAAGGGTGGTTTGTCTTAAGGCGCTTTTGGCTTACTGAGACTGATCTTTGGTTTCGTGTGTTTGTATTCCGCTATACCATATGGGCTGCATTACTGTCGGGGCTTACCGTGTTCGCACTATCTGTACGCGCTTACAGCGTATTCGACACGTACATTATCCGGTGTGGCACGCTGCAGGAAGACTTTCTCGAGATTGATGGGTCTGAATTGCTTTCTGAATTTCTATCGGTCAACATCCCTCCTCCTCCTCATTATGATCATGACGTGCTCAGCCCTTCTGCATCACCATGTGCCGTACATACTGGTGAATATTGTTGTGATCCCATGCGCACGGACGGCAACACATGTACACTCACATTCTCCATCTTAAAAGATCTTAGACTACACCGTGCACGTGAACACTCTACGCATGGCACGATTACGCTGGACTCCGTAGAATGGAAGCCGTATGTCCATGGTGCTCTACACATTTCTCAATACGAAAAATTTCCCTGCGACGTACCCAACCCACGTGCATCAAATGGCAAGAGGACTATGCCACCATTAGCAGGAACAACGACAGTGTAGACGCGGCGACTTACTGTGCAAACTACATGGGATGCGCATGCGTTGCACGATTCACAGGACGACGATCGAAAGAACGAGGATTGAGGCCCCAGGATCGAAGAAGAA